TTCCTCTTTGATCAAGTCAGTTACAAAAGGAAACCGAAAATATCAGAGGCAGTGTTCGTCGATGATCTGGGTACAGAGTAAAGGGAAAACTCTAGTTTCTCCTGAAAAGTGAAACCCAAAATTTAATAGATGCGATGGTAAAGGTAAGGAGAAGGTGCAAGACCCAGATTCAGAGTTTGAAGAGACTTCCAGCGAGGGCGACTCAGACTCGAGTGAATACTCAATCTTGGGCTGCATAGATCAAACAGTGTGGATTGGTATGAATGAAGCAGAGTTTCAACACTGAAGAATTGTTCTTGGGAGAAGAAAGGGAAAAGTTGATCAATACAAAAGAAACAAAGGAATCTAGGTGGGCAGTACATGTAGTCGAAGTTGAGCAGATGACACCCTCCCCTGGCTTTAGAGAGATTACCTCCAGTGTTCCAGCAAGAACAGGATGCACAGGAAGTGAGTCAAGAGGAGACTTTGAAGATGAGTATGGAGGCAATAGAGAAGGGTGTACTTGAAAAGGTTATTGGCGCAACCAGAATTGTTAATAATTCCATTCCCACTCAACACAGGCAAATTTCAGGGGTTGATTCTGATATGCTGGGCTTCAAACAGGACTTCCCAACCACACTTGTCTTCGATCCTCATCCAATGTCTCCAAGTAAGCGTGTCCTTTCAGTTTTGGCTACTGATATGTGTGCTCTGCCTGAAACAAGTACACCAGCTACCCAGCCTGATTGGTTAAGGAGGGAGGGTGGAGATGGAATTGTGAGATTAGAAGAGGGAGAGGTAGAAGATAGGAGGGGGAGGGAAGAGGAGGTGGAAAGGATTTGGGGCCTAATCAGTGAGTTTCTTGATGATTGTAAAAAGAGGAAGAGATAAGTCAGGAGGGTGTGCAAGAAAAGGATGACCCAATCATAAGGGAGAATACACAAGATCAAGGAATTCAGAAGATGAAGATGTATTCTAGAAAGAGTGAAGAAAAAAAAAGCAGAAGAAGAAAAAGACAGAAATAGAAAGGCTGATCTCTGATGTAGAGGGTGATATCGAATTTAGTGGGAGAGGAGATAGACGGAAACAACCAAAGTAGGGAGGGAAGAATAAAAAGAGGGTTCAAATTAAAAGGTGAAAACATGAAATTAATTAGTTGGAATGTAAGAGGTTTGGGGAGTGCAAGGAAAAGGAGTGTGATAAAAGACCTAATGAAAAGAGAGGATCCTAATGTGGTAATGCTGCAAGAGACCAAATTAACAAAACTGGATAGAAGGTTGATCAGTAGCATGTGGAGATCGAGAGGAATAAGATGGGTTGAGGCTCCATACTAGGGGGCTTCAGGGGGTATAGTGATATTGTGGAAGGATGAAGTGCTCGAAGCAATGGAAGAATTGATAGGTAGGTATATCATATCATTAAAATTCAAGAGCATGGAGGATGGATTTAATTGGGTGTGAACTAATGTCTATGGACCAAATAGTTATAGAGAGAAGTGATATGTGGGAGGAACTGTATGCAATTTGGGGTTTGTGGGAAGGTGCTTGGTGTTTGGGAGGAAACTTAAATGTGATAAAATTTTCCAATGAAACTTCTAATCCCAATCAATCTATCACCACTAGTATGAGGAAACTTAATGAATTCATAGACATGTGTGAATTGAAAGAGATCCCCTTGTTGCAAACCAATTTCACTTGGTCCAATTTTCACGAAAACTCGTTATGCTCAAAACTGGATAGATTTCTGTTCAATATAGGGTGGGAAAATCATTGGGAAGGTTTGGTTTCCAAAGCATTGCCTAGAGTCACTTCAGATCACCACCCCATTAGATTAGGAACAGAAATGTTTTTACATGACCCTACTCCTTTCAAATTTGAAAACATGTGGTTGATGCATCCGGATTTTATTCGGAAAGTGGAGGAATGGTGGAAGGAGGAATTAAGGGGAATAATGTGGGAAGGAATCAAATTCCATAAGAAATTGCAAAGATTAAGATCTAAAATAAAGGAGTGGAATAGGGATCATTTTGGAAGGTTAGAAGAAAGGAAACTGACTCTAATTTCCCATATTGAAGAGTTGGACAATGTGGAAAGTGAGAGATACCTCCATGCGGAAGAGAGGGACTTAAGATGGAAATCAAAGAAAAAATTGGAAGAAGTCCTTAAGAGAGAGGAAATATCTTGGAGACAAAAGTCAAGACAAAAATGGATAAAGGAAGGGGATGGGAATACAAAATTCTTTCATGCTATTGCCAATGGAAGAAGGCACAAAAACTTTGTGGCTAGGTTGGAAATCAATGGAGAGCTGATCTCAAATCAAGATGAAATTGCTAGAATCTTTGTGGACCACTTTAAATCCCTTTACAGGAGACCTTTGGAGGATAGGTTGAGTTTAGAAGGATTAGAGTGGTCTTTACTAGATGAGGAGGCAGCAAATTGGCTAGAAAGAGATTTTGAGGAGGAAGAAATAAGAAGGCAGTGTTCTCCTTGAATAGGTCTAAAGCACTGAGCCCAGATGTATTCACAATGGCTTTCTATCAAGATTGTTGGGAAGTGTTGAAAGATGATTTACTTGAAGTCTTTAAGGAATTCTCAAATACACATATTGTTAGCCTTGGAGTTGATGCAACTTTCTTGGCCTTGATTCCAAAAAAAGGTGATGCTAGCCATCCAAAGGATTTCCGACCCATTAGTCTAGTGACCAGCGTCTACAAGATAATTGTTGAAGTCTTATCATTGAGGATCAAAGTAATTCTTGTTTCTCCCCTCCCTCATCAGTCAGTATCAAGGAGCTTTTGCTCAAGGGAGACAAATAGTTGATCAAATTCTAATAGCCAATGAATGTGTAGAGGAGATGAAGAGATCTAGGAAGGAAGGTTTTGTGTGCAAATTGGACTTAGAAAAGGCCTATGACATGATGGATTGAGGTTTTTTGAAAAAAGTTTTGCATCAACGGGGGTTTGGGGAGAGATGATGCAATTGGATGCTTGGGTCTGTACGATCTTGTCATTTTTCTGTCCTTGTTAATGGAGTAGTAAAAGACTTCTTTCCTGCTTGCAGAGGGTTAAGGCAAGGTGATCCCCTTTCACCCTTTTTACTTTAGTGGCAGATGTCTTTAGTGGACTCCTCTCTAAGGTAGACAGAAAAGATGACTTTAGGGGTTGGATAGTGGGTAGAGACAACATTCCAATTTCTTATCTCCAATTTGTAGATGATATCATTATTTTTTGTGAAGGGGGAGACATCAGGAAAGTCGGGAGATTGAAAAATCTAATCAAGAAGTTTGAAAAAGTGTCAAATCTGAAATTCAATTTGGACAAGAGTTGCATAGCAGGGATTAATTCAAAGAACAGGTTTCATTTCTAAATACATTATGGACAGACAACCAGGTCTTTAATAACCCTACTGATGCATTAATCACTACTGCTTCTGAAGCCAGCTTCTGCTAAAAAATTCTGCAGTTCTTTTCCAGCCAGATGACCCACAAAACTGCAGCCGGGATAGAGGATCAACAAACCTTCCCTTTTTTAGATATACCCTGGATTTTCCATCCTTTTAACAGATCCTTCACCGACCCAGGAACACACCAGTCCAAGTTTATAGCATCAACAAAGTGGTTCCAAATTGAAGCACTGAAGCTACAGTGCTGGAATAAGTGGCTTGATGCCTCCACCTCCCGGTTACAGAAGACACATAGCACTCAGGGTCATTAAACCCATTCTTCACCAGCATGGCCTTAGTCAAGCATTTGTCTAAATCCGCCACCCAGAGGAAGAGTTTCACTTTAGAAGGGGCTGATGTTCTCCATATAGATTTGCTCGGGAAAGGCTCTCTTGCCTCTCCTACAAGACCCGAATAAAAGGACTTGACAGAGAACTCTCCAGAGCTTGTCCACTTCCAGCATCTTGTGTCTTGGACTTACAAATTCAGCTGCTGATTTTGTAGGATTTTGAAAGACAGGCCACCAGATCCACCTTCCAATCATTAAAACCTCTCCTAAAGGAAGGTGTCCATGAAATATTTTCCACCACAAAAGTCTGCCACTAAGGCTGACCTGTCCACAGCCACGAAAAAGAGAGCCAGGAAGGCATCTTTTAGAGCACTATCCCCACACCAAGGGTCCATCCAACAGCGCAACCTCCTCCCATCCCTCACTTTGAGCTTTAAGCCTTCAGTAAACTTATCAAAAGCTCTACAAATGCCTTTTTACACTGCACACCCATAAGAAAGATTGAAAACCTCCAGATTGTAGTTGATTGCTGATTGTGCAGCAGAGCTAACAAGCCAATCACTTGTTGCAATTTCCAGTCATAAAAACTCCTTCTAAAGGAATGATTCCAAGTATAGAATGTTCTTTCTACCTGATTAAGCATCAACTTAGTTAGCTAATTAACCACATAGTTGTCAAGCTATAATACCTGGATTCTTGAATATGCCTAGAGTAGAGTACCAATATCGGATACAATACCTGATACTGCATGGATACTTTAGATGTACTTCATAGCATTAACACTTTTAAAATATGTAGTGTGTTTTAACAAATTATACTATAAAAATATCTGTGCATGTTAGAAATTTGATTGAATTTGTCACAAGTCTTGAGAAATGGCACTAGGCTTCAAAAACTAGATATGAATACATGATATAAGCAATATTATATGGGATACCTCGGCCTGTATATATGTCCAGAACTTTAGAAAATGGAGAATCATATCCCTATTACCCATGTCCTTATCTGTATTTGGGTTTTGGCCTGTGAGAACATAAAACACCATTGTAACCATATTCATCCTGTTACTTCATTTCATGTTTCTTTATATCATTACCACTTTTTTGCACTATTCCATTTGATACTGGTGCATTGGAGGGTCTAGAGTTTTCTGCATTCCAATGTGTCATCATATTGTTGCACATAAACCTGTTGATATTTTTTCTATTTAATGAACTTTATTAATGGAATGCAATAAACTCTTACTCTTACTGATAGAGGGAAAAGAATTCTGACAGAATGATGTGTATCAGGTTGGATGTATCTATTCAAACTTCACTGATGTTGACATAGAGAATCTGAAGTCAGCTTTCCGGCTTGCATCTAGAAGGGGGGCTCAGGTTTTCACATTTACCATGGTTGCAATTAAAGTATTAATTTAGAAATTCTGTAGTGGATGTAATTGTTTGGCTTGTTCCTTTTACAGTTCATCTTTATGGGAACTAGTAAAGTAGAAAGTGTAAACACAGCATTGGAGTTATTTAAGAAAGAGATCAAGGTAAACACTTTGCTGTATTTTGGTTATAATTCATAGTTCTTATTCTCTTGTTCTCCATGCATTCATGGCAATTCTGTTAAAAATATCCCAACTATAATGGGTTTACACTTTCATCCTAATTATTATTATGCACATAGTAAGATCATCATCATCATCATCCATGCCTTATCCCAATTATAATGGGTCAGCTACATGAATCCTGTTTTGTGAATCCGTTCTATTTAAAGCCTGTGCACTTGGTAAGGTGAAATTAATAATTTACCTGTTTAATACTTTCAGTATGGTACATACAACAGTAGAACACTTAACTAAGTTAAGAAGAGCATTATCTTGTCACAGAGAAAAAGAAGAAGAATTAGTAAAGTCAACTAAGCTTTATCATAACTGTTTTAGGTCGGCCCTTCTCAATCAGATCCTTTTAAGAAACTAAACAGACAACCTAGCAACAACTTCCCAAGTTCCAAGATATTGTGACTAGCTGTTCCTTCATGTGTGACCTTTATGGTATGGACAGCAGTGCTGGAGAAATGCCTAACAGTTGACAAACTCAAAAGAAGGGTATGAGGTTGGATGGAAATGTTGTCTTACGGTTTGTAGAGCCTGAAATAGCAAATCACCTATTCCTGCATTGATGAGGCAAAAAAACAAAAAGAAAAAAATGTGTGAATGTATTCTGTTTTGCATTTTTTTGTTGTGGGATCTCAAATAGTTGCCTTTGGGTAGCTTTGTTGACAGTTTGGGACCAGGGGTATTTTCGTCATTTTATAAGTCAGATTTTTTGTCAGGGGCAGTTGGGTGCATTTCTGTTGAGTTTTGGTCTCTTGGGTCTTTTGTAACAAAAGTTATCTTTTAGGTGTTCATTTGAAGTTAGTTTTGTTCCTAAGGAGTTGTTGGTGAGAGGGAAACATTCTAGGAGTTATGTGTAAATATTTTAACTAGCTTGTCCAGCAAGCCAGTGAGTCTTATAAAAGAGAAGGGAGCTGTTTCTGTAGGGGTCTTTTTGGTTCTTTCTCTCTTGTTTGAGCTGTAGCTCAGCCCCAGCTAGGGTTTTCAAGTATTGGGAGCTTTGGTTTTGAGGAGTTGACCCATTTTGGCACTTTCCAATCCCTCCATCACTGCGTGTCCATGTGGGAGGCCAGCTTGCTGCCATTGTTACTGTAGCGGAACTGTTCCAGGAGGAGTTTTACTTCAGGTTCAGGTCTGAAATCCCTAAAAATCCAACTTATTTTGCTGTTTTCAGCTTGGTATTTCTTGTGCTTATTGCTGTATACTTGAGGTACTGCATGTAATTTGTCTTTCTGTCCACATCATGCATTGTTTCTCTAAAAGGTTCATATGGGAAATGATTTTAAGCAAGGTTCAAAATATTGATATGCCCGATATGCCTCTACCGGCGTATTGATAGTTTTAGTTTGTATTTTCAAATCCAGTTCAGAGGGGCCGGTTTAAGGTCCGTCCATCCCCTGAACCGGCCAAAACCCTGATACACCCTCTGTAGGGGCGTATCGGGAAGCTCCTGATACGATACTTATCAGCCGATACGTATCGATATTTTGAACCTTGATTTTAAGCACTTCTGGTTGGAGTGGATGCTTTCTAGTCACAATTGAAAATTCTCTTAAAGGCTGGCATCTGCATGGATCAAATAAGAAAGGAAGAGTATTATGGGAGATAATGCGTTCTGCAGATTTATAGTGTATCTGGGCTGAAACAAATGCCTGTATTTTTTACAACAAATCAAGTGCAAAGGAGACTCTGAAATATAGTCAAAGGACCATTGCGCTCATGGCTGTTTCTGCACAAACTCATTAGGAAATTCCTGATAGTTTGTATTTTGAACAGAAAAGTAGAAAACATTGTTTATGACACATATGCATACTGAATTACACTTTTTTATATTTCCATTGGACAGTTACTTGGTTTATGTGGGTGCTGATGTAATATAATCACTTTTTTATCTAATACATACCTTTTTCAAAAAATAATTTATAGAAGTGCAAAAGAGCTAAAACGTAAAATGGACAGAAGGATGTAAATTTGATTCAAATTTTGGAAGCAAATATGTAATTGATGCTGTTGCAGACAGAGAAGGTGAGCTTGAAGGACTGGAAGAAAGAGCTAGGGTTTTCTATAAGGGGCATATTATGGATCTTGGAGAGAGAAAGGGAGTTTAAATGTCTAACTTCTTCGCAATTTTGATTGAGCTAGGAAATTAAACAATGAGATTATTGTACCTCCTAACAATGTAGGACTTTTTCCATGAGGACAATCTCTCAGTCGATCTCTCAACAACAGAATCCTATAACTGTAATTTTGAACTTTCAAACTCGTTATTTATTTATATTATAAAAAAAAAAAACAGAGTCCTTAAACTTAGAAAAGCTAGAACTACCACCAAGCTCCAACTCATTCAGTTACTCTTCCTCAAATAAGACCACATCCCTACCTTTTTTTGTTAAGTTTTACCTTAAGCATGGAGACACAGTAAAAGCATTTGACAATATCCCTGATATTAACAGACAAGACTTGGTTCATAAAAGGGGTATACGGAGTTCCTCATTCTCCTCCCTACCTGCCTACCTTGGACCTTCTAATCAGATTGGCCTTTTGGCTTCAGGCATCGACCTACTAAAAAATGTTTCCAGAATGATGAAAAGAAAAGGGGAAACCAGATCTCCCTGTCTTAGTTAAAAAAAAAATAACCCAATGCTGGTCCCACCTATATGGGGTCTTGGGAGGGTGGACTAGATAGAGACCTAACCTTTTGCATTTTGGCACAAAGTGGCCCTTTTTCATTCTCACACTTGTCAGCCTGAGATTTGACTGTAACACCAATCTATGGCCCTTATCCCCTTCCCCTTATCTTAGTTCCCATTGATAATAATGGGAAAATGGCGGACTTGAGGCATCTGCAAATCAGTTTCTCTATGAAAGCCTGCATTCTTCCTATCCAAAACATGATCAATACCATAATTGCTTTATGTAGCTTCTTTAGAAAACAAATTTTAGATAGTCATCTTTTTTCCATATTTAATCCCATCAGCACATAGTTGAAAATTACACCTACAGTAATTCAGATCATGCAAGAAAAGAAGAAAAGAGAGAAAGAGAAAGAAGAAGAAATAAGTTTCAGCAATAGGTTGTGGAAGAAGAAAAGAAGAATTCAAACCTCTCTCTTTAGCCCCCTTTCACCACTTCTATTAATAATTCTAAGTCTGAGTACAATTACTTGGATGCCCTTAATGGGGTAGCTAGCACTAAAGAAATAATTAAAGAAAATAAAAGAAGGCCCATAACTAAGAAACATAACTTTTAAATACTAAAAAGAAATAAATAACACTAAGGCCCATTCTCACTACACACACTAATTTGCAATCAAGATCATCATCATCATTTAAGCCTTGTTCCAACCATGTGGGGTCAGATACATGAATCTTGTCTATCCATTCCATTCCATTCAATGCCATATCCATTGTTCTACCCTTTTTAGAGGCTCCTCAAAAAGAAGAAGTTTCTTAAGTCTGTCTGAAGGCATCATAGCAAGAATCATATGCACATATGGAACCAAGCTGATGGGATTGAAATCACTTGGAGACGACACCTTCATGTATTATCCATTTAGTCCTGGTGTTGTTAGACAGATAAGTAGTTTGGATGCTGTTTCAAATTCTATAGTGAATAGTCATATATTCTTGTTTTGTAAAGAAAGCTTTCTCAAAGAAAGTAAACCAATAATTTACTTGTTCAAGCTTCAGAAATATTATCTACAGCCAAAAGATAATTAATTTCTTGAAGTTTGCTTCAGCTGAAATCCAACTAATACACATTATTTTCTTTACTATCTGAAGCTTATAACATTATAGGGATATTCTCCAATGTGATTTCTTTTTCTGATCAGCAAAAATGAGAATTTTATTCAATTAAGAGTAATAAAACGGAATTACAGCAGATAAAACAAAGACATTTAAATAGAGAAATTTTACAACAAAGCCCAAAAAAGCTGTTGCCTTTGAACTCCCTGTTTAGCTAGAGAATCAGCCATTCCATTTGTGGTTCTCCTAACCCATGTAAATGAAGCATTAAGTTCCCTTGCTATGGTCACTATCTCCCTTAACTGATGTCTATAGTACAAGGAACATTACTGTTTGAATTGGTCCAAGATATCACTGTTTTTGAGTCCCCTTGGAGTGATTTTACCCAATGTGCAACTCTTATCTTTATGGGCTCCACAATGGCCTCTTTTGGCTTATGCTTTTCATTGAAAATTCATGCATTCCTTTCCTCCCATATTGTCCACACCACTGCTTCCCTTGCTGATTTCCGCATCACCCTCCCTCTTTTTGTTGGCTGCTTAGAAAGTTTGGATCAAAGAGGTTTATTACATTCTGGGGAGCACTCCACCTGCAACTAGAGAGAGAGCAAAGAGATTCACAAACAAACAAAACAAAGGAGCAATGAATTAGGGATTCACCATCTGCAAGGCAAGGAGAGCACATGTGAGGGGAAAGGCATTTATTTGGCCTCTTTTTTTGAAGCATGTCACAAGTATTTACCTTCCCTAAAAACACCTCCCAACACAGAACTTGAATTTTTGGTGGAATGGGCTTGCTCTAAATCTCTTTCACTGGGAAATTATCACCCCCAACAGTAGTTTGAACAAGGGTATTAAAGAAAGAAGCACAGGTAAAGGTGCCATTGGAAGAAGCAGACCAAACTCTAGTCTCCTCCAAGGATTGAACAAAGAAAGCTGACTTGAGAGCATCAAGCAAGCGTATAAGAGATCCTGGGTTTTAGAAGGGCACTTAGAGATCCTGAATTGGAACCCATTTCGAATTTGCTTAAGATCCTGGATGAGGTAGTCCTTGAGCCTTCAATTGGGGACTCTAGGGTATGGTCTCTTGTCCCTTCGGGTATCTTTTCGTGCTCCTCCTTTTTCAAAGCACTAACACAGCCTAGTCCGGTTCTGGGGTTTTCTTTTCCAGTCCGAGAAATCTGGGGTAATCCAATCCCTCCTAGGGTAGGCGCTTTTTGCTGGGAAGCATGCCTAGAAAAGTGTAACACTTGTGACCTACTTCAAAAGAAAAGGCCTAATTGGTGTTTATCCCCGCACTGGTGCATCTTATGTAAGAAAAATGGTGAAAGCTGTTATCACTTGTTTGTTTCTTGCCCTTTTGTTTCAGATATCTGGTGTTGGTTTTTTTCTCTATTTGGTTGCAGGTGGACCTCTCCTTCTAATGTGCAAAGCTTGTTTAGCTCAACAATAGTGAGGGGATTAAAAAAGAGAGGGAAAATAGTGGAGTTGTGCTAGAGCTGTTGTTTTTTGGACGGTTTGGGAAGAAAGAAATCAAAGAGTTTTTCATGATAAAAAAAAAAGTAAGGAAGCCATCATAGAACTTATTTATGTTAGGGTGGCTCTTTGGGTGAAGCCTTTGAAGCTCTTTGAAGATTATTCTGTAGGAGACATCATTAGGAAGTGGGATGAAGTGGCTCGGTCAGCTCCCATGTCCACAGCTCTTAGATCTGTTTGGACTCCACCAGATCCGGGTTTCATCAAATTGAACTTCGACGGTAGCAGCGAAGGAAATCCAGGCCATTCTGGTATAGGTGGTTTCTTCAGGGATGAAGAAGGTAGAATCATTGCTATGTTCTCAGGACCTATAGGCTGGGGGGACTCATTGAGAGCTGAAATCTTGGCAGCTCTAGAAGGATTTGAAAGAGCTAAACAACTGAATATTAGTAAGTTGTTGGTGGAAGGAGATTCTCAGTTGACTATTAAATGGTTGCAGAAGGAAGTGTCCAGCTTGTGGAAGTTCTCTAATGAAAGAAAGAAAATTACTCAGTTAACTCAGAATATGTCTGTAAGGGTTCAATGGGCCAAGAGGTGCACTAACTCCATGGCCGATACCTTGGCCAAACAGGGGGTGGGAAGAACAAATCTTTTTTAGGCTATATTGTAATATGTTTTTTCAGTTTGTTAGGGAGGGTTAAGTCTTTTTACCCCTCCCTCCTGGTTGTAATTTCTATCTCTCTTTTTATAAAATTTCTGTTATTGATAAAAAAAAGCAAGCGTATAAGAGACTCACACTCATTATCCCTCAAACCTCTTCTGAAACCAAAATCCCAATTCAATCTAGATTGAGAAAAAGTGACAAAATTTTGAGATGTGTTTTAACTTGTAGTTAGAGACTGAATATAGATCAGTGAAAATGAAGCAGAGTGGGGTTTCGCCCAGCCAAAGATCTTCCTAAAAGAGCACTCTAAAGCCACAACCCACATCAAATCTGATGAGATTAAGAAAGATAAGATATGCCTCTTGTATTGCTTTCCACAGAGAGTTCGAGGAAGATGTGGGGTTTAACTTTGCATCCCAGCCATTGTTCATCAGCCATTCTCCAATGTGAATTGTTGCGAGTTCCAAAAACATATCAAAACCATCTGGTTTGAAAACCAAACTGAGACAAAAGGCACGATCTTGAATTTCTGGTTTGAAGAACATGTTTTCATTTGGTGATTTATTATCATGTTTCATAAGTCATATGATATCTGTACTCCAAATTTAGTTTTTGTTTTAAAAACCATTATTTTGATGGTTTCAGAGACATGAGTTGTTTTTTTAAATAAAACTTTTTTTTTTTTTGCATTTCAAAACAGAACTGATAAAAGAACATATGCAATTTTTTTTTGCTGATGTGGCAATTCTGAGAATAAGGACATTCATGTTTTAGAACATACCCTAATTCGAGATTAAAAAAAAAACATTGTCTTCTACATAAATTGTTTTGCAGGTATCCCCTATTATGCATGTCATTTGTGTCCTAAAAGAATGACTTTTTGTCTGTTATATTTCCAGGATGAAAATGCAAGATTTATAAACAAGTACGACGAAGCATTATTACACTTAATGTTTGCAGGCTCTGATATCATGTTATGCTCATCTTTCCTTGATCCAGTACTTCAAGTGCCGGTATGTGAAGCACGAAGTGTTCTTATGAGTATTGATTACTAACAAATTTAAGATTTACTTGCAATACTTGTCTGGTTCAAGGATGGCTTACCAGGAATATCAGTTAATATATTATGACATTCATGCTCATCACATACTCATTAAGGCTCCTATGAGACAAATATAGTCTTGAAGTAACCAAATAGATGGTCAAAAAATCCAAGCTATCTTGTTTGTTGTTAGTGGGTCATTGGTTAAAAAGATCTAGGAAACTTCCATTTTGCAACTTAATTTAGGGTTCAATAGTAGTCCTTTTTTCCTTCTCCCCACCTTTTATTGATTTCAAACCCAAAAGATCTAGCTTTTTTCCAAAATAAGTCATTTTTAATTGCAAACTTTTTGCTTAAAAGATTAAAGTTTGAATGGCTATTATCAATTTGGCATGTTGGATATGGGAGTGACATGGACTAGGGGATTAAAACATGGCTAATCTTGAGGTTCTCTTATCTGATGGATGATCTTGATTAGCTGTAGGATTCCTCCATGTCACAGAATCATAGGGAAGCTCCCTACTTGACCAATCAAGGAACCTTTTTTCATATATACATGTCAGAACTTCATTCTGTAAATTTCTTTCGTTTTTTGTTGTGAAATTGAAATGCAGCTCAAAGCTATCAAATATGGAGCTGCTCCAGTTGATATAACCTTGAACAGTAACAGGATCAGGTAAGCCTCTCTCTCTTCCCCCCCCCCCCCAAAGATCAGGTAAGAATCATTCATTAGAGAATCAGCAGTAACTAAAAAGAGCAGTTACTTTATATTTTTCATCCAGAAAAATAAAAGAAGCTATTTCTTGTTGGCATTCTTGTACCAGGCATTCCATGGATCATGACCTTGAGAGTACAAGGTCCTCACAGTACATCATGACTACATTTGCAAATATGTCATTAAGCGAAGCCCTTGATCAGATTGTGCGTCTTCTTTTACATGTGCACATATTTTATTCATTTCTAGAGATACTTCATCTGGAGTCGAGAAATAATTATTTTGTTTTCTTCTGTTATGCAGCAAAGTGATCCATCTCGGTGGGATTGGAAGATAAAAGAAGGAATGTCTAAAGACTTCTCATGGGAAGCGGAATGCTATGATGTACATTTAGGTGCTTATACATCTATAATGAACGTGTGAAGTAGAGAATGTGCACATACAGATGTATTCATCATGTTTGTATGTGTGTAAACTATTTGTATTAATGTGCAGATGTACCCATATATATGTATTTGTTTATAGATCCGTATGTATATAAACGTGCAAGGAACAGAGGTTAGCTTTTGGGATCTGTTTAATAAATTGTGCCTTGGAAAGATTTTACGTCACTCTTCATTGTCATGGATTTGCAACATCAAGAGGAAACTGAAGTAGAGAAATAAAAAGAAATAGTTGTTCTGTTCTTTGTTCCATCAATTGAAAAGATTTTTAGGTGGTAACAGCGAATGTCAAATTGTCGCTTGCATAGTTGCACTACAGCCTTCGCATGCTGGAAAGGCCTCCACCAAGGTTCAAAGTATTGACACGTATCGGCTGTATCGTTCTGAGACCTCTTTGATATGCCCCTACAGTGAGTGTATCGGGGTTCTGACCGATTCAGGGGGTGGAGGAGCATTAAATCGGCTTCCTGAACCGGTTTTGAAAAAAAATAAAAAAATATATATAAAAAACAGTATCAATATTGCCCGATATGCCGCCCCTACAGTGGGTGTATTGGGGTTCTGACTGGTTCAGGGGGTGGAGCCTTAAACCGGCCTCTGAACCGGTTTCAAAAAAAATAATAAATAAAAAAAGTATAAAAAACAGTATCGATATTGCCCGATATGCCTGTAGGGGCGTATCGGACGTACCAATATTTTGAACCTTGGCCTCCACCTTTCTCACCTGTCCTTTCAGGTCACCTATCCTTTCAGGTCCACACGCCATGAGCCCATGACCCACTTTCTTTTGTTAAACCTTTAGTATATTACTTTAAATCATAAATCTCTCTAAATATCCCTTTCTTTCTATAGAGGTTTATGCTCTATATAACGTCCTTTTAGATGCCCCATATTGGAATTTCATCGTTCCCTTGTCAGTTCAAATTATGACTGCAATTTGATCTGTTAATAGTCTGATTCAAATTGAATCCTTATGTATTGGATTCAAAATAAATCTTAATTAAAGGGTATGTGCCATCAAAGAGAGTAGAGGTTAAGATACTTCCCAAGTAGGTGAAATTATTTCAATGCAGAAATCCAGCTTGTATTGTAGAAGCCAAAGGGAAAAAACTATTACTTTAGATGCTGCACATACCAAGTTGGTATATATTTTAAGTGTTTAGGAATTCCTCTATTTTTTTGGTCCAAGAACAAGGTATCATTTTATACTAGATTGAATGAACAGAAAGCATCATGCCTCTTTCAAGCTGGCTGACAGATTCTTATTAAGCTTTTTTTTTTTTTACTTGGTATGGTTATATATGTTTTGGGTACCTGAAATGCATTACTATGTTAGTCTCTTGTTGAAACTTTTTATGTTTTACTTACATATACGGGTAGAAATATGGATATTTTAGAAATATGAAAGAAGAAAAATTAAAATTACAGATTTTCTTTCCTATATAACCATACGGTGGATCCATGTATGATCCATTAAATCGGTGGGTCTATCCAAATTTATACAAAAAATTGGACTTTCTAAAATTGAGTTATTTGTAGAAATAAAAATAAATAAAAGACATAAAATAATTCAGTAATTAAAATCTGTTCATTGTACTTGTACACGATTTGTGTCTTGCAAATATTTTTAGTTTTAATTCTTAAATTTATCATTTATTGATTGACTATGCTCATGGATCCAATGTATTTTTTACATTAAGGCTCAGTTTGGAAAGAGTACTAATGCAAATATGTACAGTGCAAATACATACAAAATAATAGAAAATACAAGGTTTTGCACTCTCCATATTTGCATTTGTACTCCTTCCAAATTGAGCTCAAGCTACAAATGCATTTTTGTATCTATTTACCAATAAGCTAATTTAAAATAAAGTAATATATTAAAAATTAAATCTATGTAGTAACTTGTTAAGCTTACAGTCATTAGCCATAACAATTAAGTTGACTTTAATTTTTGGCTTCCAATAGCCTATGAATTAAGTTCTTATGTATATAAATAGAAAATAATGTATTAATTAAGCCTCGTGTATATATTAGGGCAAGTTACAAGCTGCCACCTTTTAATCACTACACACTAAATACAAGGTGGGTAGTGATTCTTAACCCCTCAAACTTTTATTTGTGACAAAACCCATCTTAATTTTTCAAATTCAACACTTTGCCCCTAGCCATCTTATACTTAGTAGGCCTGGAAACGGATCAAATTCAAATCGAGATTCGAAATTGAAACCGATTATGAAAAACAACATTGGAATTTGATTCGATATCTGATATTGATTGCTTAAATTTGGTTTCAAATTTGATTATTAAGTCGAATATTCGTTTCGATTCGAATTCAACTGGTATGAGGCCTAGAATCTTAAATTACCGAGTTTGCAAAGAAAACAAGCGGTTATCTTGAGAAAAACGATAGGAGATTGACGGTGGTAGTTGCGGGTTCCCGGCGGTGGGCCAAGTCTGTGACAGCGGTAGTCGTGGGTTCCTGGCGGTGCAAATGCAATGGTAGTGAGTGGTGTTGGCTAGTGATGATGGACTGTTGTAACACAATAGCTGGTGATATTAGACGGTTGAGGGTCTTGAGGCGTTGAGCTTGAGCTTGAACAGCGGCGAAGGAGATGGTAGTGGCCGGTGATCGATACTCGACTGCTACCACTGATGTTGTCGTAGGTGATCACAACTTCCAAAGATTGGGACTAAAAAAGATAGAGGGAGAGGAAGAGAAGAGGAGGAAGAAGAAATTAAAAACGAGAGAGGAAACTGGTTTGGATCTCTGGTTTATATCAAAAATAAAATAAAAGTGGAAGAGAAAAGGACGACTGGACGAGAGAGAGAAAGAGGAGGTAGGAGTTATCGAGAATGACAAATGACAATAGGTGGGTGATATAATTGCAGAAATAAAATAAAATGAAAGTGGGAGAGTAAAGGACGACCGAACAAGAGAGAGAGGAGGAGGAGAGGGGTTATCGAGAATGACAGCATGGTGATATTGTCAGCTTTTTTATGATGGACTCGACATGACCCCTCTTTAACATTAACCTTTATATTTTATTATATTACCCCTCTTTAACTTTAACCTTTATATTTTATTATATTTATTAATATATTAAATGTATATAATTAATCAATTCAAATTTTTATCGAATCGGATCAATATGAATTCGAATTTGAATTCGATATATTAATCCGTAAAATGTATAAATTCGAATTCAACCATTTAATTTATCGAACCATTCGAATTCGACCATTTAATTTATCGAACCATTCGAATTCAATTCAATTAGGTTGGATATCAAATTTGGAATCGAATAATCGAATACCGTTTACTCCCCTAATACTTGGGCCTTGTTCGTTTACTAGTATCTTCTAGGGTTGGTCAATAGGGTAATTGACCAAATTACCTACTATTTATGAGTCGCAAGGAAAATGATTTTTTTCATAGAGTATTGGTTACCCCCAGGGTGGATAAATTGTTTACCAGTTCGATGAAAAGTTACCTGGGCAACTTTTCCTCAAGGACCACTTGCTCAAGGAAGCATGTTACTTGGGCACCGAAAAACGAACAAGGCCTTAGTGGGTTGTCATTAGCATTTTCCTTAGTTAACTTCAAAAGATTCTCATGCGACTTTCATGTGCATGTTTAAATATTTCTAAAAGCCAGACTGACCTTACATAATTTTATAAGAACATTTTGTAAGAAATTGATAAAGTACAACAAAAAAATAAAAATATAGGAAAGTAAGTGTCAACAAACCCAAAGAAGAACACAAAATTCTGGGGTAAAGAAATGGATACATTGACCCTACCCCAAGGGTCCTTTATATTGAAAAAAATAAATAAATAATTTACAGAGAAGCCCTTGTAGGGCAACATATATTAGAGAATTTATGGAGAGGCCCTTGTAGAGTTGAAGAGAAAATAATAAAATAACCATAGTAATATGGCACATCAGATGGTTTCTTCACACTCCCCCTCAAATTGATATAGAGGCATGAGCATCAGTTTACTTACGATAAATAATTGTCTGAACCTTGACATGGCCTTTGTGAAGATGTCAGAAACTTGTATATCAAAGGCAACATGAGGGAGAGAAATAGAGTTTGCAAGAAATAGGTCGTGGATAAAGTGACAGTCCACCTCAATATGCTTTGTCCTTTCATGGAAGACAGGATTAGAGGCAATCTTAATAGCACTAGTGTTGTCCACATAGAGAGAAATGAGTGTAGGAGATGAATGACCCAACTCCTACAATAAAGATTGAAACCAAGCAACTTCACTATAAATAGATGGCATTGCCCTATACTCTGCTTCTTCCATAGAGGACTTGGAAATAGTCTATTGTTACTACATTTTCATGATATTAGAGAGTCACCCATGAAGACACACCAGTCGGTAGTGGAATGGCATGTGTCGGGGCATCCAGCCCAATTTGCATCAGCATAGGCCCTCAATTGGATAGAAGAGGATGAAGAGAAGAAAATACCCTATGATAAAGAGCGTCAAGCATAGTGAATGATTCAATGCACTGTAGTCAAATGAGGTTGACGAGGGGCAGAGGCAAATTGACTAACAACTTGAACTGCATGTGAGATGTCAGGACGAGTCATGGTGAGATAAATGAGAGACCCTACAAGTTGCCAATAGAGAAAAGCATCAAGAAGTAGGGGAGCCTTCTGATTTGGATAATTTGACATTCAACTCCAAGGGAGTATCAACTTGTTTATCATCAATAAGGTTGGCCAACTTAACAAGATCAGAGGCATACTTGTGTTGGCAAATAAAATAATCCTAGGAGCTTTGTTGAACTTCAAGCCACAAGAAATAGTTAGGAGGGTCGTGATCTTTTGTGTGAAAAGAACTGTGGAAAAGAGACTTGAGGTCCTGAGTTTTTTCTATATCATCTCCAATCAACAATATGTCATCCACATATAGTAAGAGAATGGTAAGGCCCTATGGTCTTTTCCGAACAAAAATACAGTAGTCCGACGCACTTTTGTTATACCTAACTTGCACGACAACATCTCTAAATTTTTCAAACCAAGCTCAAGGGGCTTGCTTTAACCCATAGAGGGATTTCTTTAGCCGACAGACGAGGGAGGGATCACTACAGTACCCGGGAGGAGGTTTCATATAATGTCTCCTTTAGATGCCCATGTAAAAAGGCATTTTTCATTACCAATTGAA